ATATATATATATATATATATATACACACACACATATATATATACATACATATATACATATATCCAGCATTAAAATCAGTAAATAGATCCCTCCGCACAACACTTAAAGACCTCCTATCATGCTATTTTTAGGCATAAAAGTGCATGTTGCATGATAGGAAGAAAAGCATGCAAATGACAAAATGGTGTGAATACCTGCCATCAGAATGCAACAATGCAAATGCTCCCTTACACAAAAGAGGAAACGGGAAAAAGACCTTTCATCCTCCTACATCATGCTCACTATAGGAAGGTCTTTCCTGTGATAACTACAAACGCGACCCTAAACATAAATATCCTCCCACACTGCCACCTTGAGTTAATTCAAAATGGCTTCCAATCACAACAGCTGCATGGGAAGATGACAACAGCCGACTCATTTACCTACCCCTGCTCCAGATAATGAGGACACGTCGCTCCTACACACACAAATTCACACATGCAGCGAACACACAAACACAACCCCTAGCTTATTTCACACAGCATTTCCCAAACAATTATGGATCAATAAAGCTTAGAAATGTTCTGTATTAATAAAGATTACAAAGCAAACACCTTTAGAGCAGAGCCAAACGCTGACTGAAATTAACTGCTGACATTTATCAGAGCGGAAAGCTGGAATCGATTGTAAGCAGGAAGGGAAAAGGCCAGTTGCTCACTCCAGACTTATTTGCGGCTGACATTAACATGCATCTACAATTCTTTTAACCTCTATAAATAGAAATAGGATTAACAACCATTAAAAACAGGTCAATTCGTCACCAACTCTATGTAAAGCCTAAAAGATTATCATACATATTAATCCAATTCCCTCGGTCCCACAGTGCCCACAAACCCTGAATATTATGAGATAAGATTTATTAGAGGGCAGTTTTTTTATTTACTGTTCAAAATGATTTATCTTTGTCTTGTCCAAATGCCAATATGCACATCATTATCATGCAAATCACAAATCCTGTAAACAGGCACACTACGCAATAAACTGTTTTTTTGCAATACTGCCCTGACAGTTTGCTCTTACAGAGGATGTTACCATTTTAGCTGCTTCCCTCCTAATTTGCATTTGTTTCCTAGTAACTCCTATAAATGGAGTGGAAAAACACTGCAAATACACCGTGTTGGTAGTGTTGCTAAATGTAGCCTGTGGATGTGGTTTGATGTTGTCTTGTCTTCTGAGTCATTTAACACCTGGATGCTGTGAATGTTTTCCCCATCTCTCCTTCCAGGAAATACATTCATGCCAAAAGCATTATGTCTAAGAGTGGAATTCATCGGAGGATAAACATTTGGAAAATAGCACATTCTTAAGAAGATCATCTACACAGCGGACAAAAGCCCTTTCCTCTCAAAAGGCCTGACCTTCTGACAATATGTGAAGATCACAAACCATGGAAGAGGAGAAAAAAAAAAGAATAGAAAGTGGATTTAAAGTAACACTGAACTGACCAGATGAGAGCGCAGGGACAAAAGGACAAAAGCATTGTGTGAATATATGTATCTGCAAGAGTGCACTCACTTGTCCAGAGCAGAACCTTGGGTTTGGTTGCTGGTGAGCCGGGAGAAGACGTTGCGGTCGTTTCTGGACCTCAGAGGCGGGGAGGAGGGGGGAGTGTAGCCGTCAGTGGGCCTGATAAGGAGCAGGGGGGGGGAGGAAAGTTAAGGAAGGAAGAACAAGAAGAGTTAAGAATGAAGGAGTATGTGAATAACATTACAGAGTCAAAAGATTAGAAAAATCTGCCAACAGAATAGCTTAAATTTGAGCATCACAGTGCATGTACCTGTACGAGCGATCGTAAGATTTCCTCCTTGTTAGAGGGGAAGTGTCATAACCACGAGACTGCCTGGGACTGACACACACACACACACACACACACACACAAAAGCATACTAAGCAATCTTTAAGGGAGTGCACAGGAGGGTGATACACATCTAAAGGAATCAATAAGCAAGAAGGGTTATTGCATGTTAACAGCATTTCTAGCAGACTAAAGCAACTTGCAGACTAATTCCTTCAAAAATTAAATCACACACACTCAGGCTTCCCATCCCAGAGGACTGATGCTAATTTCATTGGCTTTTCCCTTTCTCTCCCTGAAGCAGATTTATAACCTAAAACTGTCAGGCCTCTGGCAGGTTTACAGCGGCTGTTAACTTGGAAGTGAACTGCAGGAAAGACATAAAAGTTCTTGACAACTTTGTCAGGAAATAAAATGTGATGAAAAGACGTTTTGTTATGTTGTGTTGTGATATCCCACAGGGTGTATGGTTATGCAATTATCATCATGTTTCTATCACACTTGTTAGTCTATCTAAGCAACAGGTTTTATTTTTAAATAGTCGCAAATGTTCCCGTTCAACCCACGTCATCAACACTTCATGACTCTGCTCTTGCTAAAGGGAAGTGCTAAAGGGCACTTCAGCAGAACAAATGTTTACCATCATGTGGATAACAGATAAGCTTCTCTATTTGAAGAAGACTATAACATCAGGGCCCCTGCTGTCCCACACAGCAGAGCAGTGATACACAACCAAAGGGTGTGTGTTCCCCAGGGTGTACATCTGCAGGTGCCAGGCGCTACAGAGGTGGGACAGAAGCTAAACTAAGTGGAAAAAAATTCAGTTCAATGTTTAGCCGGGTTAAAGGGCCAACTTTAAATGTTGTTTTGACCAACAATTACAGACAAATCCAACTCATTGTGATAAATATCTAAATACTAAGTCAACTGTGATACCTTAACACTAAAAACACTAAAGGGAATTAATAAAGGGTTGAAATATTTAGATAAATGTTATGGATAAATGTAAAAATGGTGGAAAAGCTATAAGATATATTTAATTGTTTAAATAGGTAGCTGAAAATAATGGCTTAGTTTCATGTAATTGATAAATGGTAATATGCCTATTGGTTCATCCATATAGAGGTGTTTTAATAATACTACATTGAACCATACCTCCAACAACTACTTGGTTAATCTTAAGGGATGTGTCTTTAAATCGACATGAAAAACTTGCAACTTCTTCTCCTGTTTAGTTATTGTTCTCCTGTGCCTTTGATTGATCGGTTTCTTCATTTCCCTTTTAATTACTTTGTTGCATTTGAGGCAACTAACGACGTATAACTGCACTATAAGTGAGTTTATGGTCTATTCCATTTGTATGTTATTTCATTCCTAAGTCATTTTATTTTCGTTTCAACTTAGTTTTAATTGCCAATTTTTTTTTATATCGTTCCTAATGCTTTACTTTGCCAGTGTTAGCACTTTGAATGTCTGTGTTTATAATAGGCATGTACAGTATATAAATAAGTCTGCCTTAACCTGCCCTTGTTTCATCTCAGCCGTCGTTAAGATTGACTTACAAGGTGTGTCCCCTGACAGGTAGGCTGTTTGTGCGGGTGGCCCGCTCCCTGTGGTAGGGGTCTCGTAGGGCGAGGCTGAGACCCAGACTCGCTGACCCGAGGCACAGGCCGTCCTCCTGGATGTCCGTCAGCGAGGCCAGGGACTTGGTGATGAACTGGTGCTTGCTGCTCGAGGAGGGGTCCAGGATGGGCCCCAAATACTCCGCTGACACCGCCTTCATCTGAACTGACAGACGAGGCTCCATCTGGGGGGAAATGGGCACCATATGTGTTACAGAGGACCATAGGTGGGAGAATGATACAAGCAACGAGAACAGTGGGATTGGAAAAACTGAGAAATACAATACAAAAATGTAATATTGAATAGAATCAAAGCACAGGAGAAAATGCATAATATATCATTCAGAAGGGAAAAAGGGAAAAAAACAATAACCCTATAAATCTTTGTGGGTTCAAAGAAAGCTGCAAAGAGAAAAACTAATTATAGAAACAATAAACTATAGAGAGCACAGCATTAACATGAGGATAAGAGGGATTTGTGTCAAATCAGGGGTTCCTTCTCAGAATATAAAACCAAGCTTCATTTTTTTTATTGTTTGCCGATACTGCCACCTCGTGGTTACACACAGAAATGGCAGCATCTCAACAGAATAACTAAAACATATGTGTAAATAAAGCAAGGGTCCAACACAATCATTACCCAACTGATGTTATCTGACAAAATGCAGTGTCATGGTGATTTATAAAGGTCTGACGGGCTTGGATATTCCCGCAGATGTGTTGGGCTCTAACAAAGATAGAGCTATAATACGATGTTAAATATGGAAGAAATGTTAACATCTGGATTTGAATCTGAAACATCTAAAACAGCTGAATAACAACTGATGCACTTCAAAGTCAAATCAGCTGTACCTTTATTTTCATATCATCTTGGCTGTTGGATTCTTTCATGCGATATACACTGCAGAAGGAAAGGAGAGTTACATATACATGGAGATATGAGAATGGAGTACATGTTTTGTTTACATATTAAAGCAAACTACAGCACATTGAGGTAGATTTTTCTTAAAATTGGGTCAAAGTGAGAGGTTTATTTTGTAATGGTGACCGCAGTCTCACCTGATGTCAGAGGCTTGGCTGAACTCAGACGGCTCCTCGTCTGTGCTCGCATAACCATTTTCTGGAAGCGCAGAAAACATACAACCTGTCAGTCCCCAGCACACCTTGCATAACTGCCAGTCTCTTTATGACCCACCCTAATCCACTACCATGTGTTTCAATTCCACTGCTTTTAGTTTAATATATCCTCTAAAGCCGATAAAAGCAAGGGAACATAAATAATGAAGTCTTCAAAATCCCACCCAGTCCTCAACACTAGTGCCATCCCCACTTAGTTTGTTGTATCAGTCTTAGTTGACTAAGATTTCTTTAGTGCTTTTTGATGATTCTTTGTGGAAAAATTTAGTTTTTTGATCTATTGTTAAAGGACACACTCACCCAGCTGCACATTGGCAATGAGAGCCTGGAGTTCAGGGATGTATTCTGCCTTTTCTCTCAGGGCATCAAGGATTATGTGATTGTGAGACGAGCCGATCACATCTGACTGTCTCAGCTGACCCTCCAGCAGCCGGATCTGAGCCTCCTTCTGAGCCACGTGTAAACTCTGCAAGCACACAATGACCAAAAATATCAGAAATAATAATGCACACACACATACACACTGCAACACAACTTTAAGACCAGCTAATTACCATACAACAAGAACAGTTCCTGTTTTAAACAAAATGAATAGACATGCAAAAAAAAGCAGCATGCATATTGAGTCTGAATTCAAATGTGAGCATTATGAATGTATTATTAAACCTTGTAGTAGAACATTGTTATAACCCTGTGAAGGGGGATTAGTAATTTATTTGTACCACATCTTTGACAACATCCTGCAGTAAAAGGAGACACCACTAGATGGCACCACAGTCCATAATTCAATGCTCCTACACCACTCACACCAGGACATTGAAACATCAATAAATATACATTACATGATTGCATTTTAACCAATGGCGTGATATGATGTATAGTTTAAACCAGTTTATATAGTATAACTGTTTAACTGTATAGAAAACACAATATGTTATCTTGTGATTTAATCTGTATGCATGTTCAAGCTTCATATTTTCTTTCACACCTCACCACAGATGTAAGGTGTTTCAACAAGATTGTTTTTTACAAAAGTTTCTGGAGCTGTAAACCAGGCTCTGAATGATAACTCACTTTATCTATGGAAGCCTTCAGGAAGTGGTCCAGGAGGTTGCGCGCTTCAGCCAGAGAGCAAGAGCTGATCACCACTGAGGTGTCCACTGAGTCCAGCTCATCCTGCAGGAAAACACAGCCCTCGCCATTAATATAAGACTCCTGTCATTCCCACAGCAAATATTACTGTTTGTATATGTGTGTTTGTGTGTGATGGTCTGTGTTCGTACCTTGGTCTCTTCTATCTGTACGATGGTGGCCTGGCAGTCAGACAGGCTGTCATTGATGTAGTCTATGTTGGCGTTCAGCACCTCGATATCTTCGTTAATTTCCAGAAGGAGGCGGTCCTCTGCCTCTGGACCCTCGCCGTCTGCCATCAGTACCTCCCTCTTATGTGAGAGTGATTCCTGCTGGACCGTCAGCTCCTCCCGCTTCTGACTCATCAAAAACACACAGAGGAAAGTCAGAGCCGTGCGCATAACAGACCTTAATCAAGAGTAGAAATCTGAATGTCGTTCCGACCTTGATAAGCCGATCCATGTCAGCTTCCACGTTAGAGATTGTCATTCTCTGCATGACGATGTCCATAATGCGACGCTCCAGTGTTTGCCACTTCAGCCGGGCAGACTTGGAGAAGCTGCTTACTCTGCCCGCCGCTGCAGCGCTGCCAGGGCCTGCTGGCTTACGCTGCAACTTCTTCCTGCTGCTGGGAAGAGACAAGACAGAAGAGAGGAGAAACATAAGATTTGACTGATGCAATTGGAAAGAATTGAGTAGAGTTAAGAGTTACAAGAGGAACAAAGGATACAGAGGTAAAAGGGCTATCACAAACAACAGTCATTAATCATCTGACAAGGAAGAAATCAATAATAACTTTCATTGAGACCTTTCATTCAATTTTGGGCCATATGGGAAACACATTTTAAGCCAAACACTAACTTATCATCACTTTTCAGTTGATATACCTTTCAGCAAACAGTTACTTATTTACACATCCAGCATTAGCAGAGTAACATAAACGTATATTAGGAGTTGTGTGTTTGCATCCACCTGAGGAGATATCCCTCTTTCTAAATGCTCCTAGACCTTGACAATGAGCTGAAACTCAATAAAATGCTTTATAAGGTCAAGTACAGCTCCAGTACAATTTACTCCCTTCGCATTTTATCCCAACAATTATCATTAAAATACCCACTAAAAACACAGTGTTAACACATCACCAGTAAAGTATAGGCATTTCTTACCCAATGACTCTGGTTCCGTCCATGCTACCCTCACTCTCGGCCAGATATCCAATCACGCTGTTTTTGTTGTTCCATTGTTTCACCATCCCGCTCACAGACCTCCCGGTCTCAGGCTCAGAGCTGCTTGCTGTGGTGCTGGCCGATAATTCAGCTCCAGAGTCCGAAATTTGGGGAGACTGGTTCCAGCGGGCCACGCGCCCGGCCACGCGGTCTGACATGGGTTTGGCCAAGCGCCGCAGGGCCGTCACCTCCTGAGTCTTCCTGCGCAGAACCTGCTCCTGCTGGCGCTTCTGAGACTCCAGCGCTCGAATCTGGTACTGAAAGAGAGATCGGAGGGAAACAGTTATTTAATACTTTTTTCTTCACTCTTCATCAAATGTTAATTAGATTCCTGAGCTGACTGCGTTTTGCAAACCAGGCTAACTAAGTGCTGATCATGAGAGGATTTAGGGACGAAATCCGAAATAAAAGGATTATGATTAGAAACTGGATGACTGTGTAAATGTTCCCATGCTTGTTAATTAGCCCTCCCCTCCAGGGAAAATAAACACACAGGGGAATTCATTTGGTGTATATGCTTATCTTCACAACATGGAAAGCCAAACCAAAACATATGTGTGCAATATGTACATAATAAATTATTGAGTATTTTAAAGTGCCATCCTGTCAAACAGAAGGAGAACCTCAATGCAAGCAATAATAATAATAATAATAATAATAACTTGAATTTATATAGCGCCTTTCATAACCTGAAGGTCGCTTTACAAAGAAACGTACAAGGACAAGACATAAAAAAAAAAATTATAAATAAAACATAAAAGAAAATAATGAGTCATTCACAGTCATGAAATTAGAATGTGGACAGCAGCTGAAGTGTTAATTAAACTCATATATAACATTGCTCACCTATCTCACAAGTGTCCTAATGATTTTAGTTCTGTATTAGAAATTAGAGGGAGATGAGCAACCAAGAAAATATGTTGATGTATGTGCCAAATATCTCGATTTTTTTTGTGTTTAGCGCTACAACAAATTATTATTTTTCTTATCAATGAATTCATATTCAGTTTAATCTCTGTTTTATACATTAATCATAGGCTGTGTAAAACAGAGAAAAAGCAGGATGAGATTCTGAGAACGAAATGTTCTGCCAATTAACTTAAACAATTCATTGATTATAAAAATAGTAATTGCAGCTCTGGTAGTACTTAGAGAGTATTTTGTTGGATGTATCAGTCCTAAACAAACACAGCCTGCAGTCCGACCTCTTGTCTGCGCTGCTCCTTCTTGAGTTGGGCGATCTCACGGTTCCTCTTCGCCTCCACCATCCTCCTCCTCTGCTGCTCCTCCTTCATCTGCTTCATCAGCGTCACCTTGGCTTTCTTCATGTCGTTGACCTCTGTCTGGAGTTTCTGCAGCTCCCGTTCGTACCTGCTCTGGTTTTTCAGGAGACGAGCATGCTCTTTCTGTGCCACCTGCAGCTTCAGCAGGTCTCGGTTCATCTCCTTAAGACGTTTCTCGTAGTCCTGCTTGACCCGGCTGGCCTTCTCCTCCGTGTAGTTCTCCATGGACACTGCGTAGCCATGCAAACATGTTAATGGATTTTGTCTGGATGCTTTTTTCTAAAGATAAAAAAACTCCACAACTGTGTGTGAATAAAAAAAATGCTATGATGAATGAACTCACTGAGATTCTGCAGTACGCGGTCCCTCTCCTGCTGAGTGTCTTTGATCTTGTTCTGGAGGAGGATGAGCTTCTCCTCGTACTGCAGCTTCAGCATCAGCAGCCTCCGCTGGCTGTTCTCCAGCTCGTCTATCAGCTTCTGTTTGATCTCGATCTCGCAGGTCAGATCAGCCAGGTCCGCCTGGAAGTTGGCTGCAGGATGGGAAGGAAAATCAGGCGGGGTACAAAGTAGAGCTAAATGAGAAGTTCAAATAAAAACATTTTGAGGGTAATGAAATAAATAGCAGGAAAAACGGCCCAGATGAATGTCTTGACTTAATTCTTAATTACATTAGATATTGCATGAGTCATGTGTTGCATTTCTTTAAGAAACTGTCCATAACACTGTACAATCAAATTCAGCTCTACACCATGAGAAGTTTTTTTACTGTCCTTACTGTCAAAAGTGAATAAAGGTAATGTCGAATAGGACACATTTGGTATAAGGGCGTGCTAAGATAAGATGAGATGTACTTTATTGATCGCAATTTGGGAAGACACTGCACATAACAGAAATATCAGCTCTTAGAGAGACCGTTTACAAAATACACCTTAGGTTGATGGGTATCTGATACATTTAAAAAAAAGAAGTCTGTATCAGTTAGTAGTAGTATAAGTATGTGTTCATAAACAATTTTTCAAAAATGTATCGACGTATTCCAGAGGAAATCTGGACCAACTATTGTGAATTCCAATGGAGAATAACAAGCTCCTCCTCATGGAGAGCGTTCGCCTGGAAGAGTCCAACTAGATTTTTTATCACGCCCGCTCAGCAATCTCACCATGCTGGTTCTTCCAGCTGCTGGAGAAATTGTGGCTCTCAGGAAGCAAACCATTACCACGTGGTCTGGGATTGCCCAGTAGTAAATACCTTTTGGCATAAGGTTTATACGGAGCCCCTAAAGGGACATGGAAAAAAAAATGGAGAGAGAAAAAAAATAAAGTCAGGAAAACGGATTCGTTTCTCGTGCGCACGAGNAAAATGTATCGACGTATTCCAGAGGAAATCTGGACCAACTATTGTGAATTCCAATGGAGAATAACAAGCTCCTCCTCATGGAGAGCGTTCGCCTGGAAGAGTCCAACTAGATTTTTTATCACGCCCGCTCAGCAATCTCACCATGCTGGTTCTTCCAGCTGCTGGAGAAATTGTGGCTCTCAGGAAGCAAACCATTACCACGTGCTCTGGGATTGCCCAGTAGTAAATACCTTTTGGCATAAGGTGTATAAAGAAATTGTCATCATATTTGGAAAAAACATTTATTTTAATTGGGATGAACTCCTCTGTGGTTTCCTGCACTCAACATCCACAAATATTAAAACAAAATACTTGTTTGGGATGTTGAGTGTAGCTGCCAGGAAAGCAATCACAAAGAAATGGCTCAAACCAAACGGCCCATCTATAGATGATTGGTACGATATCATTTACGAAATCTTTGTAATGGAAAGAATAACCTTCTCTTTGAGGCTCCAGGAACATAGATTTGAGGAGATTTGGGAGAAATGGAAAGTGTATATTACCCCGATACGCCCTTCTTTTGTCTAACTGTTTGAATATTTTATTTAAGGATCTATACTGTCAATGTTATATATTGTAAAGAAAACACCCTATGTTCTTGTGTGGTTATCGTTGTTGTCCTGTCAAGAAAAAGAAAGAAAGACGGACCACTCTGACCAACACCGAGAGTGGTATGCCGTTGTCTGCAGGAAAAAGAAAGTGCGCCTTATAGTCCGAACATTACTATTTAACTACATATGTATATGTACACTGAAGTTGAAAAGTGATCCAAATAAAAAAAATAAAAACATTTATGGACACAAGCTGATAGCACTCGAGGACAAGTCAGAAGGTCTCTTATTCTGAGGCATTAAAAGTTTATGTGCAACACCTTTGCACCGATTCATCTGAAAATGAGGTCTGGAAACATCTTCAGGGATCACAGAAGTTATGTGTGATTCATCCTCTGGACACCATGAATGTATGTAAAACATGTCATGGTATTTCATAGTGTATTTGTTAGATATTGACCAACAAACATCCAGAATTTCCCATGGCTGAAAACAGAAGACAAAGGGAGAAGAAGTTTGTTCCTTTTGTCACGGCGGATGAAACACACCTTTCTCTTCAGAGTCGGAGTCTGAATCCACCTGGCTCTCGTCACTGTCAAACCCGTTCTCCTCCTCCCTGCCTTCCTCTTCATCCTCCCCCTCATCTTCTTCACACCCACTCTCCTCCTGCAGTGGAGACATGACATCCTGCAAACAGAAACACACAGATACGTCAGACTTTGTTCCATTTCTTTTGTTTTGAACTTGTACGAGCGCCAACGCGATTCCCTTACCTCGACGTAATTGTCGTCAGAATCGATCTCTCCATTTTGTCCGTTTTGTCCGTTATGCCCACTCTGCCCGTTCTCTCCATTCTCGTGGGTGTGCAGTTTGACTCGTTTCTTCATACCTTTCTCCAACTCGGGACTGATTGAGGAGAAAATCATCGTTGTTTAGGCCACATGAGGAAAACACACAAATAGCATCATCTGTCAACACGTTTTGCAACATGAAATTATTTTTCCTTCACTTTTTGTTGACAATCTCTCCATTTCATTACACCACTCTTTCAGGGAACCACCATTAAAGCTTTGGGAGAGTTGCCAAGTGATCTGCTCAAGGTGACACTTTAAGTCATTAGCTGATGTCTTTTTCAGCTCATCATACACACATATTGCCTCTTAAGTCTTAAACTTTTATTGCCAATTTGAGTCTCCCCTTTGGTCCCTTTTTTACAGCCGTGCCTCTTATCACCCATCCCATCTCTAAATTCCCCTCCTCCTCCCTCTCTATTCCATTGAACCTCAATTAGCCTGTGAGGCTGTGTGCTTTTCTCTCATGACCCACTGGCCGACTGAATTATACTTCTTTACAGCCAGCAGCACAACTCAGCACTGGCTGCAACTCAGGCTGACCCTCCCAAAGCACTAATCGTCTTGTGATGTGGCTCTTAAGCTAGATGAGAAAAAACAATGAGGAGAGTATGACTACAATAATGTACTCATCAATTACATTTTCAAACTTTAAACTGTGGTGTTTGGATGTATGAGGATAAAAGAGATTCCTGAAAGTCTGTGAAGGCTTCCTGATCTGTTAGTTGTGTCTTGTTTGTTTCAATTGTAAAACGTTTTTTTTTTAGGAATGATGTCTTAATATCTTAAATGCCTCCCTCACCTCGTTCTCCTCTGCCTCCTCTCTTTCTTCTTCAACTTCTCGATGTCCATTTTGGCCCGTCGTAACACGTCTGTCAGCTCAGCCTCCATGGACAAGGGAGCAGGGGAGGATCCAGGTGGGTGGCCGGGGGCCGGGCTGTGAGTGGAGGAAGTGAACGGGGAACGAGTGGAGAGTCGGGCCGTGTGCCGTCGCAACGACTCGTTCATGGCCTCGCTCTCAAGGAGCTTGGATCTGACGGAGCAGGATGAGAGAGGGAGAAAACACAATTGGTCATGCAGAATTTCGCTCTAAAGAACGGGGGGAAACAGCCAAACTGAAGTAATTGAAACCAATAAAGCCACTGATCCTGATTTTTAGCCTGAATCTTTTTGAAAAATAAATAACACAAATTATTCCCTTTGCATATTTTCTGCTTTTCAAAATAAAGTTATGTGTTGAGAAACTATGATATTTCACCACAAAGACAATTACAATACAGAAAATACAACTGAACATGAACTCCTTCCATTTGTTGTGGCAAGATGGACGATGTATGAAGGCAGATTTCCCCAAAGATTTGAATATTTCTTTAAAAATCAAGAGCTTCATAAGTCTGGTTAAAAATATGTTTCAGTTTGCAGCTTACCTAAGTTCTTCAACCTCTCGGATGTATTTCTGGATCAGAGCCCCGATCTCCTCAGTGCCCTCACCTAAAAGTCAAAAGCATAAGGAAAGCAAAATTGAAGATGTTGAATTTAGAAGAAAAAGGTTTACATGTGGTGTAAAATCATCCAAAGCAGTCAGGCATCCTTCTCACGTACCTGACTTGGTGAGCAGAGAGCTGACCTCATTGGTCAGCAGATGTGTGACGCGGGTGTTGAGATGGTCGATGGTCTCCTGCATGGCCTTCACCCTGAGGCGCAGTGTGTCGCTCTCTCTCTGCAGCATGGCGTTCTCCTGACACAGGTCGCTGTAGCCCTCTGAGCCGTCCTCCCCCGCCACACGCTTCCCCTGCACAGAGAAGAAAACCGTCAGCATGGAGAACAATCACACCGAAAACCACACCCATTTTAAAGGTCCCCTATTATACTGTCTTTCATCAATATATTATAGGTCTCAGATATACAGGACTGTCTCAGAAAATTAGAATATTGTGATAAAGTTCTTTATTTTCTGTAATGCAATTAAAAAAACAAAAATGTCATACATTCAGACTGCCAAGGCACAC